TAAATATTATTTCAAGGTACTTCTTATACTTAAATTTTATCAAACAAACCAAGAGCCACTAGAGTTCACCTTAGTCTGTTGGTATGAGGAAGTTGGTGAATTATGGGGATGCCCTAAATTGAAGTTACTTAAACATTATAGTTGTATATCATTAGATAGCATTGATAGGACAATGCATATAGTTCTGAGATTTAATAAAATAAATGAATATTTATTGAATAGTTTTTTTTCTAATTTAAAAGTACATCGATATTTAAGTGTATATTATGAGCAGAGAAAGCTTTCTATTCCAATATATTCTGTCATATATGTTATACAAGTATTTATATGACATGTTACTATAAAATCGAAATTTTCGTGTATAATATAACAAAAAAACAAATAAGTATTAACATGATACTTTACTAATTAAAAAGCTTAATAGTGACCCCTTCTACAAAAAAATTAATTTATATCATGTTACATTGCGCAGTAATAGGTAGGTATATTATGAGTAAAAATACTGTATACGAGACAATAGTGTTGCTTAATTTCCTAAGAGTAGAAGTTTAATATACTTCTTTCATTTTTTGTAGGTTTACTTTACTGAAAATAAGAGTATTCACTGAAATAAAGATTAGTGTTGGGTACTGGTGATTTACTTGTTTGGAAACTGGTATAAAGATATGTACCAGTTTTTTTGATTTATTTAATTTGGTTTTTTTTCGATTGTGCTAATTTATTCTTTCTTTTGTAGTTTTTTTTTATCAAAACACCAAAACATAATTTATTTGTATTAAAATCGGGCAATATGGTGAGTTAGTCACTCTACAATCCAAAACTTTGTGTTATCTACAGTTGGCTTAGTTAAAAAGAGGTGTTTAGATTTGGTCAATGGTTTGGGTCTGCAGGTGAGTATTTCTTCTTTACTTGTCTTGTCTTGTGTTTTTCTTCTCTTGAACTTACTAACTCTATTCCTCAATTACCTCACTACATCAGGTAATTGGACAACACATATAACTACTCTATCCTTAGTTCTTCAGAATAGTAGAATGATACAACCATGGCTGATCCTGGTACTTTAGGATACAACAGCTGGATGTGGAGGGTAACAATTTTACTGGATAGAACAGCTAATTACAAGAATCGAGATTTATGGTTTGGAGATTTAGCGATTTGTTAATGTAGCAAAGGAGGCGGTTATGTATTTATTATTATGTAAGGGCCAGATATTATTCTAATAAAGCAAAGGACTTCTCTCCTTTCTTAGGGCCTTCATGGTCTTTATTTATATTATAATTCTTTATTTACATTTGGCATTCTATGTCTGCTACATCTGCTACTTTTACTACATCTAATATATCGTTCCCATGTTGGGTCTATGTTGTTACATTGAGTCTGTGTTGTTATGTCAAGTCTGTGTTATTATGTTGGGTCTGTGTCATTACATTAGGTCTGTGTTGTTATATCAAGTCTTTATCTTTATACTAGGTTTGTGTTATTATGTTGAGTTTGCATTATTGTAATAAGTTATATTATAATAATAAATTTATTTTATGATGTTAATTTGTAAATTTATAATATTTAATATAAATTAATAATTTATATATATTTTTATTTAATATTATAATAATTTATTATTAAAAATATAGTTTATATAATATGTATAAATAAATAAAAATTAAAAGCAATATTAAATATAAATAATAATTATTAATTTATTTTATAATTGTCCATTGATTAATAAAATTAATAGCTATTTGAAGTTCATTATCTATATTATTTTCTTCTATTTCATTATTATTTTCATCATCAAATTTATTATTATCATTAATATTTTCATCAATAATTTCATTATCTATATTATCATTAGTATTTTTTTCTAATCCTTGTTTAAATAATTTAACTTGTTTAAATATTCCTTTTTTATAATATTCTAAACAATGTTTACAAGTTGAATTATAACAATTATCATGATATGAATGTCCACAAATATATACTTTACCAGTTGAAAATCTAATTGAAATAGTACATTGATCACAAGAATCTAATGATGCTAAATGAGCTGTATGATATCCAGTTGGCAAACATTTAATATCTAAAGTTTCATTTAATGTTGTCATAAAAAATTTAGTACTATTTTTGTTTTTAATTATTTTACTTTTTCCAATATTTTGAAAAATATTTTGAAAATATTGTAATAAAAATAAACTACTTTTTTTTGTTAAATAATCTAATTGTTTTGATTTATATAGATATATTTTTTTATTACGAAATGTATTAAATAATTGATTATCATGTATATCTAATATATATGATTGTTCAATAATATTGTCTGCAATACTATTATAATTAATATTTGCTTATAATCGGCTATGAAAATTTTTAACAAAATAATCATTAAAATTAACTAAATGTTGTGATATAATATTTGCTAAAGGATGATTATTTTGTTGCCAATAAAGATAATCTGATATAAAAGCTAAAGGTGCTTTATTATAATTTTTTCTTTGCCATCATAATGCAAATGTCCATAATCGAAATAATATATTAAAATATTGATTAAAATGTCCAGATCTAAAAAGAACTGCATATATATCTAAAGTAGCAGGTACTAAATTATCTAAAAGATCTAAAATCATTCTGTATTCTATATCTTTACAATTGTTTCTAAATTTTAATAAAATTTTATCAGATATTTTTTTCCATCCATTATGAATTAATTCTAATAACAAATAAATTTTCTAAGATTTTGGTTTTTTAGCAAATTTTTTTTTTTCACCAAATATAAAATGAAAAAAATTTTTAAAAAATGAATAATAAACAAGAATTACTTATTCACGAAAATTTAATGAAACATAAAGAGGTCCTATAATTGGAATAAAATTGCTAATTTCTTCAGAAACTATAATTGAATTAAATTCTAAAGTATCAACTTTTTTATAATAATGTATTAAAAGTTTTCTAATATAATATTGTCCTGACCAATCAGCAATTATTGGTATAATATTATTTTGAAGATATTTTTGCATTGTTTCTATTGAAGTAATCATTTTTAATGCTTTTAAATAATTATTTGTAGAATGTAAACTTTGTTCTTGTACTCCAATTATTTTAATATTTTTCATTGATCTTTCTTATTTACATTTATTTATTGCATCATCATAAATATGTATTGTAAGTAATTCAATTTGATTTTGATCTTCAAATTGAATATAATTATTTATCCAATTAAGTTTTTGTAAATTATAACTTATATCAAATGCTCCATTAATTTTAAAATATAAATATCTTATAATAAGTTGTTCATCAATATTATTTGGATTAAAAAATAAACATTTATCATGTAAATTGTAATTTATTGCAGGAACAGGTAATATATTAATAATTGGTTTTGCTACACATGTTGCCATATGATTTACTGAAGAAAGTGATGTTGTATTTGGTGTATGTATTCCATAAATATTATGAAAATCATCAATATTAAAACAATGAAAAATATTTGACTAAAAAAAAATTATTAATATTTTAAAATAAAAAATTTAAATAAAAAATATAAAATAACTTACATTTAAATTAAAATATTTATTTTGTTAAATGAGGATTTATTATTTCTTTTTTATATCTTTGAAGTGTTGTAGTATGAACACTAAGACCAGCATTTGATAAAGTATTAATTCCAGAATTAGACATTCCTAAGGATTGTAAATAAAGACCAAGATTTAATTTAAAATTATTAGCAAATTTGTTTTTTATTCTAACTAAAAGATAACAATATCCAACTACTTGTTTTTTTGCTTTTTCTTTGTTTTTAGTAAGTCTGTTTTTTGGAATTAATGCATCAATAATTTCATCAAAAAATCCTTTTAATTTTGGCTCATTTGATTCAATCATTTCTTGAAATTGTTTAGGATTTAATAAATATTTGTTATTTTCTTTTTGATATTTTAATAATATAGTTGTTAAAAATTCCATTTTTTAAGAAAATGTATATTTTTGAGCTTTAAAAAAAATTGAATTAATATTAAAATAAATTTAATTTAAAACAAATAAAATATAATAATTACCTGAATTATTTAATGTAGTTAATAATATATTATTATTATTTGAATTTGTTAATGCTTCTATTTTTAAATCTTTTTAAATAATTAATTTAATTAATTGATTAAAATTTTCCTTATCAAATAAAATCATATTGTTGATTTTATTAATTTTAATATTTTTAATTTGATCAATTTCAGTTAAATTATTTTGAATTAATTCTTCTTTTTGAGTTTTAATTAATTCTATTAAATTTATTGAATTATTTTCATCTTGTAAATTTATATTAATTTCTATAGAAGAATTTGATTCACTAGATTCTATTAAATTATTAATATCCATTAAATTTGCAAAAGTATTTGATCCACTAACTTCTATTGAATTATCAAAAAAATCTGATTTATTAATTCTATTAATTGTAGATTTTTGAAATCGATGAGAATCAACAATTTTTATATAACAATTATAACATAATTTATCTATACCGAATTTAAGATCTTTATAATGTTCTTTATCAGGACAATTATCAATTTTATCTTTAAGATTATCAGTAACATTTCTAAAAGTTGAAATGTTTTTTAAACAAATTGAACAAATAAATTAAGTATTTTGTTAAAACATTTTTTTTTAAAAAAAATAAATTTAATAATTTTGTATAAATTACATTTATATATTTTTAAAATTTATTGTATAATAAATATATTTAAATTTATTCTATAATAAACAATTTTATTGTACATAATAAATAACTTTTCATTGTACAATTAATGATAATTTTACTATTATATAATAAATAATTTTACCATTGTATAATAAATAATTTTACTATTGTATAATAAATGATTTTGCTATTGTACATATACATAATAAATGATTTTATCATTATATAATAAAATTCATAACTAATAATTTTATCATTGTATAACAAATAAATTACCATTGTATAATGAATAACCGCCAAATCCTAAATCTGCAAAAAACAAAATTTATCTAACCTAATCAGGAATATTAAAAAAGTTGTATATGACAAAATTTTATTATTATATTCATGTATACAATAATAATAAATCAAATAAGTACGTATACATATAAGTTGATTATTACTATACAGTATGGACTAAAGACCCCCCTTTTATAATACCCCACATGATTTTTAGCAACCTAAAATGTATTGTACTCAGGGGTACTAGAGATAGATAAATTGAAAATAATAGCACTTGAAATATAAAGTATCCCTGAGTACTAAAGACTGGTTAATTGTATTTGGGAATGCACAGTAAAATTATTGTTAAAACTAATGCTAAAAATGTGAGAAAGCATGGCAGTATTAATTTATAAAAAATTTATTATTAGAGTTTCAGTTTGATTACAAATATTTAAATATTACTGTGATACTCATGCCCACACTGATCATAGTATCCCTCTGACTATAATACCCTTATATATTGCTTAAATTGTAAAGTACTCTGGGTATTTTAGTCCATGCTATACAGTAGTTTTCAAAAACTGAAACATGTTAGAACTACTATATAAATATAGTAATTTAATTTTGTAGTATGTTAAATATAAGTAAATTCATACCAATACAGAATGATGAAGATGGGTAAATTAAATTGAAGACATGACCATATGATAATTTGACAATTAGTAATTATTAAAGTATTTACAGCTTTAAATGTCAAAACCCTTTATATGTATTAATAGAAATGGTGAAACTAATTATCACATAATAAGAATTGCACCAAATAGTGGATGCAAATCTTTTTTATTGAGATATGATTATTTATAGAACTTGTTATCATTACAAGAAATACAAAAATACATGTAATTAAGTATAATAATAATGTGTTCATTAAATATACAGATTTTAGTCTAAACCAAATTGAGTTTTTGTTTATAAATTCATATATCCTTTTATAGTCACAAGAACAAATTTGAAGTTACAATTCTTTCGATTGTTGTCGCATGGCTACAAGAAAAAATTATAAGTAATACAGTTAGATTAAAAAAATTAGAATGTTAAACATGCATTTCTATGTATATCAATATAAATTTAAAAATATATACCAATAAAGTAAAAGCTTGATACAAAGAGAATTTGAAACTGTTTAATAAAAAAAACTAGTACTTCATATTAGTTTATAATTAATATTTAACATCTGATGCTGTTTTTACATTTAGAATCTATAAAAAAAAAAAATAAGTTACTACAATTGAAGAATCAACAAAAAAGAATTAAAAACAACATGTAAATAAAAACATATCTTTGTGCCAGTCTCTAACCAGTTAAATCTCTAACACTTAGTGCTGATTTTATGTTTTGGTGAAGTCAAACCTATAAAAAAAATAAATTAGTATAACCAAAAAAAAAAGAACTAAAATAACAAGCAAAAAAAAAAACTGGTGCTTATCTTTATACAAGTTTCAACTAAGTAAATCTCTAATACTAGTGCTATTTTTGTAATTTAGTAAAGAAAATCTATAATGTTAGTACAACTGAAAAAATGAATTAAATGCAAATAAAAAAAAAACAAAGATACTTATTTTATACATGCTAGATCTTAGCTAAGTTAATCTCCAAAGCCCAGTACTAATCTCATGTTTTAATAAAGCCAAACACCAAATATACAAAGTGAAAGAATAAGTTAATATAGTAGAAAAGAAAAAAACTAATATCAAAAACAAACTTTACTAGTTTTCTATGTCAAGTTACTAGTGCTATTAAAACTACAAATTAGATAATAGATTAGCACAACTGAATGAAAGAAATAAAATAAATAGATACTTTATATTATACTAGTTTCCTACTGAAGTCCAACCTGTAAAAAAAAAATAAACTTTATTTTGTTGTTTAACGAATATCTAAATACAATGTATATCATATGATAAACATTAATGTTTCTTATTGGCTGATTTTCTTATGATCAACCCGAGCTTTTTCAAAATTTGAGAAAGTTTTTTCTGCTTATATTATGTATGTTATATTTCAATAGATAACGATAAGTCTATATAAGTATCGATTTAAATAAAATCGAAGATAATCAATTTTTTTTTATAACAATAAGTATCGATTTATATAATTTCAATCATAATCGAATTTTTGTAAATAACGATATATACCAATTAAAATAAAATTAAAGAAAATTGATTTTTTTGTAAATAATGATTTGTATAGATTTAAATAATTTTGATCATAATCAATTTTTTGTTAATATCAATACATATTCATCTATCGATATATATCGATTTTGATATATATCGATTTATAACTACCCTGCCGATATATATCGTTATATTTCAATTGATATATATCGATTTTTTGATATATATTGATTAATAACTATCCAAAAATTTTCCTGATATATAACAAACCAGGCTGCCAGAATTGTCAAAGAAAAAGAATATATAAGTATACCATACCAAGCCATCTGAATTGGAAGTCTGAGAAGTTAGTTAGTTTCAAGTTGCAGCTAATAGGAGATAATAAAGAAGAAGTTAGAAAGATGGGTACCAGGGGTTGAATAAACTTTATAAGAGTAATAGTGGTTTAATAGGTAACTCTGACTGCAAGTATTGGTTTTGGCTATAGCATCAAACCAGGTTAGCAGTAAAAAAGAATATGACTCGCTCTGGTAGGTTTATCTCGAGGATAAAAATAGTTTAAAGATTATAGTTCTATAGTTAAAAGTGAATAGATCTAGGTCTGTGATCTGGTAAAATTAATACCAGAGTCAGATTAGAGGATTTAAATAGAACATCTAAGCAGAAATATTAGATATGGCAACTGGTAAAGAACCTTCAGATGGACTCTTTAAATAGATAATATAGAAAAGTTACATATATAGTCAGTTTTATACTCATCTGATAGTTTATTATCAATACATCTATATAAAACATGTATCTAATATAAGTATTAATAAAATACTAGAACCAAAGAGATCACCTTAATACTGAAAAAAAATAATAAAACTATATTTAGTATCACATTTTCTGTTAATTTATCTTATAATGAAACCTATATATATTTTTTTAATAACACTCTTTTACCAGATCATATTGTTATTGCTTTATATTTTTTTTCTATATTCTATAATTTTTTTTTTAGATCTAATTTCTTTAATTCTACTTTTATCTTATTTGATTTATTTTTGACAACTATTCTTCAACCTCTAATTAAAATTTCTCCTTATTTTTACAACCCAACTCCACATCATCACAATTTAACTATTATTATATACAATATTAGAGATTTCAATAAATTTACTAAAAGAGAAGTATGACAAGATTATTGTCTCAACTATAATATATCTATTGCAAACATTACAGAAACTAAAATTTCTGACAAAACTAACCTCTTCTTTTGCAATAATAACTTTTTTATCTACTATTTGTCTAACTTTCCTACTTCTATTGAAGACACTACTATCATAATCTGCAATAATCTTAAACTTCATATTTACAGTATTCATATTCATTCTGAAGGTACTATTGCATTTGATATTTTTTTCAAAGTAATATCAAGTTCTACATCATCTCAGTTTATCTGTCATCAACTGACATTACTACTTGTAACTAAACTTAAAATACTGTTATTAACTAGATCCAACAAGCCTCTTAACTTCACATTCACTCTATTATTCTTAGTAATTTTAATATACAAGATAATACTCACAACTCTTCTTCTAAATATAAACTTATTAATTTTTTTAACAATACCAATATGTATAATTTTGAAGCTTATTTTAACAACAAACATTCTACTTGATCTAACAAAACTAGTAGTAGTTGTATTAACTATATTTGGACTAATCAATTTAATATACAATTTCTTCTCTCTTACAGTTTTGATAACAGCCAAACCTTAATTTCCAGTAACTATCTAATTCTTATCTCTATATGAATATTTCTACATGTCTATAGCAAATCTTTATATAAATATACTAATATTAGTTACCACATCTTCAACTACAAGATTATGTCTGCAGAGAACTAGGAATCCTTTGCAGACACCTTATCTCAACAACTCTTACTGCACAAAACTTCTATCAATAGTGAAACTGATGAAAGTATTGAAACAACTTGGCACAAAATTCAATGCTTTATTATTTATTCTGTTACTTACATTATCCATAATAAAGTCTCTTGTAAATATAGTTATAATTATCAATACTCATCTCACAGTACCTTATTATATTTATCTCTTAAAAAACTTGGTCATATTATTAAATTTACTAAAAACTTATCTAATATTCTGACATCTTCAACATTAATCAAAATATTTCTTAAATTAATAAACAGTCACAATGTAACCTTCAACTACTTAATTTTACCAACTTCTTTTGTACTCAACCATGGCTTCAATATGCTTACTCTATCTGAAAACAACTTTTTCATGCTTGTTACCTTGAAAACTCTCTCCTACTTCAATAACAAATTAACAAAGCCATTGGCAAAAGATGTGTTATTTTTACATCACATTCTATACAAGCTATTAATAGCATCCTTAACTACTACTATTAACCTGTTCATTTCTCTAATATAAAATTGTCTAATAAGCTTATAATTGATCTACTATTTATTAAACAGCATATTCAATCATATTTTTATGACTAAACTGCATTTAGACTTATTAATGAAACTTATTTTGATAATTTTTGATAATAACACTATCTTCCATTTCCTTATATTAACCCAACCTGATACCAATCTCTAAACTCTCTTATTACAAATGAAAAACTTTTCTAAACTTTCTTTTAGCTTCCTAATAACAAAGCCAGTAGTCCTACAGGCATTAGTTATGAAATGCTCAAACACATTAGCTCTGAATACACTTTTGTTATTACTAGTCTCTTTAACTATTGCTTTTTTAAAAATAGATTTTCTAAGCAATAGAAACATAGCAGAATTTATTCTATTTCCAAATATAACTTTTTTGATGATGATCTTAATCTTACTCGACCTATTAGTTTTGTTGAACATATTTACAAACTATATATCAAAATTCTTATAAACAGACTAAGCACTATATTTTCTTCTAATCCTATTCTCTTATCTTTTAATTATGTTGTACTTCCTAACAATAGCATTTCAATTCTTATTCACATCCTTAATAATCTTATTGAAGATGCTACTTGCAATCATAAAAATATTTGGCTACTTTTACAAGATATAAATAAAGCATAAATTATGTCAACTTTATTCTTTTTAAACATTTACTTTCTTATCTGGCACTCTCTTCATCTATTATTAATATTCTTTCTGATCTTTTAACTGATTATTATAACTAAATTATTATTAATCTTGGCTTTACTTTCTTATACTTTGTTCATAATGGTATTGATCAAAGTAAAATTATTACTTTTTTATTATAGCATATATATTATAATCCACTTATCAGATAGAACTCTTTCTGCAAATCTATTGCACAAAAATTAACTAAAAAATTCGTTCATAGAAAATGCTTATAACTATTTATTTTATTAAGACAATCTGTTCTGGTGTCTTAAGTAAACTTGTTCAGCTCTAACTTTTATATATATTCTGCAAATATTATATTTCTAGCTTTTAAACTCATTGAGAAAACTGTACTGATGGCCTTTGGCCCTAGTTTTAACAATTAATTTTTTTTTATAGTTTCTACTATAATAATATATCTTTTACTCTTAATTAAAGTTGTAATATACATTTTCCTGATCAAAACAAGCTCTAAACGAAGAATTTTAAGCTAATATTGGCTGAATTACAACAAAATTTCTCTTTTACTCTCTTGTAAAACTTTTTCTTTTTTCTATTTTTGTTCCTACCTGCCGT